CTTGCCTCTAGCCCTGCCGAAAGAAAAAGAGAGAGGCAGGGGGGAAACCCCCTGCTCATAGCCCTGCCGAAAGAAAGGGAGAGAGAGAGAGAGAGAGAGAGAGAGAGGGGCCGGGGAGAGAGAGAGAGCGAGACAGCTCCCGACGATGCCCGACACAGCAGAAATGACGACAGTGCAATGGACGCCACCGGCCCTGGCAGAGGGGGAAGACGACGGACCATCGACGAGACCTCCGGCTACACAACCCGGAGCTGAGAAAGCTGAGAGCGGGGACAACAGTTCCAACTCGAGCCAGCCCTCGTGCCGCAGGAGGCGAATGCATGCGGCCTTTCTCGACCAAAGGGGACCGTGGCGAGTAACAGCACCACCTGTAAACCTAGCTAGCCGGCACTCTCGAGACAAACTTGCTCTATCCGCACCTTTGCATGACCTACTTGCCTGGTCAGCACTTTTTGTATCGCTTGCGTCAGTGAGAAGGTGTGCCGCCACGAGAGTAGCAAATCCACGAAAGGGGGCCGGCAATGTCGTCTGACGGTGCACGGTTATGTTGTTTGCGTTGCTTCTTACAAGCATGCCCCAGTAATAACACTAAGTCGGAGGGGGAACACCGGCACTTGACCATACATGGTTTCGACTTCCAGTGTTGCTTCTTTGAGGTGGGGAACCCTGGCGAGCAACCCCCTACAAAGTTATCATGTGCAGTCGGCCGTCCTGGGCTTAGAGCCTGCACACCGTAGGTTGCAGTTAGGGGGGCTAGGACTTGCAATAGACGGTGCGGGGATGAGGCCGGGACGCGGGCTAGTTGGGGGAAGGTTCCACGACAACCAACTTTTCCCGCATGTACTAGCCCAGGGAAATGAAATACGTCCCAGTGACCCTCAAAGCCGTTTCTCTCACGAACCAAAGAGGGAGGGGGGTGCCTCGGGGTCAGGTTAGTACGCGGTGGTTCGGCAGTCAAAACACCTGAAGGTTTCACGTCCTTCCAACAGCCCTAGAAAGCCGGGGGGCCCTTCGCGGCCGGGGGGGCGATGATGATGGTTGCAGTGATGGTGATGGTAGTTGTGCTGGTGGCAGTGGTGATGATGATGAGTGCGAGGACGATGCTGACCGTGCTGCTGCAGCTGATGATGATGATGATGATGATGGTGATGGTGATGGTGATGATGGTGATGATGGTGATGGCCGTGATGATGGTGATGATTTTGATTATGAGGATGACGTTGCTGCTGCGGCTGGTGATGATGACGATGATGATGATGATGATGGTTATGATTGTGATGATGATACGATGGAAACAATACCAGTACCAATGGTTGTTTACGGTTTCTGGCGAAGATATGTTCAGGTCGTAATGCCAAATACCCAAATCCAACAGCTCGTTGTTGCGATTGCCAGGAGCCATCTCCAAAACCAACCGACCGAGCAATACTGAACTTCTGAATTCTGACATGTTGTGGGCCGAACAGCATCGCCAGCCAACACCACTAAGACATGGAGCGAGAGTCTTCGACGTGGAGTTGAGTGGCACAAGTTCATGTCACACGGTGACCCTTTAAACAAAGATCGCTACCTTAACAATTATTGAAGGACCCGAAAACCCAACTCCAAGTCGTTGGAGCGCCCCGAAATCATTCTATGCCCGCAACTTGAGCAGTGTAATAGACGGCACACTTCCCAGACATTTTGTGGCGAGGACAGTTGCCGGGCTCCTTTTAGGCACGAAAGGCCTGGCCTCCAGCCAAACTTAAAAGATGCTGCCGAAGAAATGCCTACATGCATCAGCAGCTGAGGCTTGCCGACTCACTTTCCGTTCGATCAGGGCGTCCTTTCTCAACACTTGCCAGTGAAAGGCAACGTTATCTCATATGCACCTTGGTGGGTGTCTGAGACCAGCGACGAGCACCTTGGAAATCGCGGAAGTTTTGTCTTCTCAGAGAGTGCCCGGCCAGAGCTCCTGGCATCGAAGTTCCGCGTTGCCTTGAACCTCTTGACCGACCCTCTGCTGCCTCTCGTGACACCATTGCCAGCTTCGAGGGTTCCAGCACCAGTTTGGACACGGCAGCCAATGGCTCCTGGCTTCAGCCCCAAGCAACACGAGCTGTCTGAATCGGAGACCGCAAAGATGAGCTGGCCAGAGCTTGACCCAGCTCTGAGCTCACCGCGTCAGGTCACGAAGGCGAGAGGCCAGGGACAGCCGAAGCGTGGTGCAAGACGGAGCTCCATGAAGAGCATGAAGAAGGCTTTGGACTTCACTTTCACAGTGGTCTTCACGGGCTACGACCACGACGCTCAGCTGAGTCACGGTGATGCGAAGTGTACACGGCCTCTCAGTAGCGGGCATGACTCTCACAGCCATAGACTCGTGGCATGGCATAACTTGAACAGATGATACTGATGCGTGACGAGTGAGTTCGGATGCATCAGGAGAAGCATGCCGAGTTTGAGCTGGTTCCGCGTTTGATTGGCAAGCGCGGCTGCAACATGTTGCCTATACAGAACATCGGTGCGGCTGCCCGCGTGTGTGGGCGAGGCACGAGAATTAGGTGAAGATAGGTAAAGAACGAGTGGGCAGCTGGGTTGTCGTCCGACAGCTTAGCAACGAAGTGACTGGCAGGCAGCGGCTACAAGGAAGTCCATACTGCTGATGGGCAAACCGTTGAGAAAGACGAGACACTCCAGCTTGCCGTCGCCTGCCGCACGCAGCATGGCATAAAGTCTAGCTAGCCGAATGCCTGCGCAAACAAATGGGGAATGTGCAAGCCACTTCTCTTGTGGTTTCCATGAGCATCTGCAATCCAATGGGGCGGTTTCCTCGTCTTTTATCCTAGGTGACTCACGAGACTTTGTGACACTACTGGTAGATTTGAAGAACATTGAGGAAGCAATTGGGCTGTGTTTTCCAATAGCTATCAGGAACGACATGCATGACGCAGCCCTTCGTCTCGTCCAGCCTCTTCTCAATGACCTCTCGCATCACTTCCGTCGTTTCTGCCGCACCTCGGCGATGGACTACTTTGGACTTCTGTGCAAGTGGCAGCGGTTGCTAGCTGATAAAAGCAAGCTCACATATCCCTAGCTTCGAAGCGATGTCCTTTGCGCTGACAGGAAAGAAAGGACTCGAGTGCCCCGACCTGTACATCCTGGCGGCCAAGCAGGCGCGGCATGCCAAGCCGACGGACAGGAAACACCAGAACGACAACCTGAGAGGGAGCCTGCAACTCATGCGTTTTCGGACAAAACGGTGGGGCTGAATCCACAACGAACTTAGGCCATCGTTATACGATGTTACTGTATCTGTCTAAGCCTGCACCAAGCTGGAGTCTCATTGCGAGGACTTGTAACTTAATTGCCAGCCTGCTTGCTGGCTCAAAAGCCTCCGTGTAGCACAGCCAGGACGGCCGTTTTGAGCACTGTCCAGGTTACCAGAATCTCCGCGGCTGAGCGCACGTCCATGCGCGAACCCATGCAGTCCAAGCATCCACGCTCGACCTTGCCCCCCTTATTATTCGTGACTGCGAGATACCAGTAGGTCCAACAACGCTAGGCCCTAAGCCCAGGCTAAAGGCTTAGGGTTATACGCTTTGCCCTTCACAGCCTCTCTCTCAGCGCCAAAGCACGTTGTTTCTTCGAGCGAGAGCAGGGGCCCGGAGCAAGCGAGTGTGGTATAGTAGCACGAAATTGCGGGGCCCTTGGCAGGCGAAATCCCGGCCCGAAGAAGCTCTCAACTGCGCGGTGATGCCAGCTCTGGTGCTGAAAGAGCGGGATGGAGTTCCTCCCTCAGGGGGCCTCGTGCACCTGCGAAAGGAGAGAGAGGGGGAGAGAAAGAGATGGGTCTGTTGCCTCGGACTCTTGCCTCGGAGGAGCGAGAGAGGCAGAGAGCGGGAGAGAGCAAACGGGATAGCAAGCGGGGGGGCCTAGAGCCCGGAGGGCCGTAACAGCCCTCTATGCCTGGAGGAAGAGAGATGGAAGACGTGAGCATGAGCCTTAGGTGCCAGAGAGCGAGATGGGACTGCGACAGGTATCGGTTCTTGGTTTGTTGTGAAGTACCGATATTGGTGACAGTATTGGTTCGGCAATGTTTGGGTTGTGCAAGAGCAATTGCTTCATGATGCTGTGAAAACGCCTTGGCAGGCTGTGCTCGTGCTTATGCATGTAGTAGCAGTGGCAGTGATGTTTTTGACTGATGCCTGGTCGTGGTTGCGCAGCAGAGCGGGTGGTTGCTTCTTCGAGATCACCTCCCCCTGTGAGGCTCCCTGCCTGCCTTGCTTGGACAGCGGCAGCATCGCCGGAAGGCGTGAGTCGTGCCGCCTGCAGATGGCAGACATCGTCGCTGGGCAGGCAACGGTCATGAGTCATGGCTGTTTTATTCTCAGAGTATGACACATCACGGCGAAAAAGCTTAACACACGTGAAGCTGCTGAGGCTGAGCTCCGTCATGAGCTGAGCAGGGTGGTCCTCGGACATGCCAGTTGATGCATGCGTGGCCTGCATGGGTTCATTATCGGGTGCTCTGGGTCTTTCGCGGGGTGACATACACAGATTCAACTTGTCTCCCGTGCCTTGACCCCAGCCCCATGAAGCATGTCGACTTGACAGTGCCCATCTGCGGTCGGGTGCTTGCATGATTGTGAATTCTGTACGCATGCCATACGGGGACAATGCCTGAATGAGCAAGTTGGAAAAAGGATCTTCGGCAGATGCTGCCACCAACCCTCTTACAGCTCTGCTACTTGACAATGATTCGGACTTCGTGCATTGGTTCTGATCCAAGATCCAACTTGGTCTTTGGCCTTTCGCCGGTACAGGACCATTGCGGAATGGCTGGGGCAGAATCTGCAGTCTAGCACGGCACAGCGTGCATGGCCTCCATGCGCTGCATATCATTGCATCTTTGCCCAGTGGATCCCGTCCCTCTCGTCCCTCCGATTGTAGGATCATGCCACAGAGAACTCTGTGTGCCAGCCCGTTGAGGGCCAAAATAGCGCAGGTAGGCACATACACACACATGCACAAACGCCAGGAAAGCCTAATTCCCAGAGACTGAGATGCATCGGGGCCTGAATGCACTGCTTGCTCTTGTGGCTGTACACTGTATAGAAGTTGCCTGAGCATCGGCCCATGGACTTCCATGGGCATAGCTTGCTTTGAGCAAGCGTTGCTTTCTTGCTGTTGCTTGCGGTGCCAGGGGCGCGCGGCAGTCTAGCATCGGTTTTTCGAAGTAACAGTCTGGGCACAGCACATACAGGCCCAAACTCGAAGTGAGACTGACCTGACTGGGCGTGCCTCCACAGATTTTGAGTCCATGCCCCACATTCGAGGTTGACAACAGGCCAAATTAATCACACGTTCAGTCCGAGTTCCCATCTGTAAGGGTGAGCGTGAGGCAGCTGAGTGCAGAGTCCGTTCCAAGCAACGGTGCACGAAGCCAGCAGCCAACGGCCTACGAATTGTAAGCATGATCAACAATGAAGGTAGGTTTGTACCGGCTGCTAGAATCACATAGGCACGCGAAAAAATCGTAGACCCGTTAAACAAGCCTCCCCCTATTGGCAGCGGTATGTAGTCGAATGCAACCCTTCGAAATCCTTCAGCACGTTGCAAGATCCAGGAAGGAGGCTAGGCCGGCTAGGCTAATGGTTCTTTACCAGCCTGAAAACGTGGGGGCTGGGCGCCTGGACGATGTATATGGCACCGCAGCGCAGCACGTCGACCGGTTGCGGTGACAGGCAACCTCAGCATGGTCGTTGTACGAATTCAGATCTCCATACACTCCCAAGAGGTTTCGCAGATCGGCTTCCCAGCATTTTGCGCGACAACTGAGGTTTATATCTCATCTGAAGCCTCTGATCTGCGAAACCTTCGCTCCGTCCATTTGTGCTGCTTGATGTTGCATGCTTACGATGCCGAAACACTCTTCCACCATATCGATGCTCTGTTCATGCCACATCATCAGGCCGCAGGAGTGCACAGGACTCCAGCCCCATGTGCCGTGCTCGCATCTGCCAGTGGGTCTTTGGGAGATGACTCATTCTCTGTCCACTAAAGTCTAGAAAGCCTCAGTGGCTAGGCCATGTGGTTGCAAGTCATCCCCCAGACTTTCAATGAGGCAGAGATGATTCGAGCAAGGTTTTTTTTATTTAAAGTTTTGGCCATCCATTGTTAGGCCCTGTAACAAACCCTGTCGTGCATCTGTGTAAAAAGCCGCTGCTCCTGCTGAGCCCCAGTAGCCTGACGGCCTGACAGCGGGTGGAAGGGTGGAACCATGGTTGAACCTTCACAGTTGTTTCATGTCAGGCCCATTCCGTTCTGCTGCGTGCACCATGGGTCGGAATCTCGAGACGCTGTTTTACCTCACCATGGAAGAATGGCCCAGCATAGATAACGGTGTGCAGTTGTTTTCTCTTGCTTGTCGGCTTGCTTCGACGTTTCTCGTAATTTCCACGGAACCGAGTGCGACAAGTCATTGCCTGGCAATCTGAAGGCCTTCGCGCTGGGCTGAGAAGCGAGGGCCAGGAGACAGGCAAAAGTGAGGTCGCTTCTCCTTGGATGTTGCAAGCTGCTATGCTAGCTTCATGCCAGCGGGATGTTGAAGAATTCGGGCTCCGACGGAAGGTACCATGGTGCCAACAGCTAGATTTGAGTCTGGCCTGTGTTGGTGTGGGACGAGGCAGCTCCAGTCCTCCCGCCAAGGCGCTCAGACCGAAGAACCCACAGCTGCCGGAGCTCCGCGGGAGCGCCAGCTTCTGGGGTTTTGGGGCAAAGCTGCAGTAAAACCTTGTTTCGACAAAGCTCCACTGTCATTCTCTTCGATTCGTAGTGTGCCACTCTGGAGCGATCCTGCCGTAGCTCACGGGCTCGACCTTACCCAAAAGCTGCCCGGCTGTCTGGCTCTGCGCAATGTCACTCGCACGCACTCACTGCAGTCACAGCTTCTGCTGCACAGTAATCTTCTCCATGTTTTACTTCATCTTGGTCTCTTGCTCATTCCTGATTTGAGCGGGCTTCGCCAAGCTGAGAGACACGTTGATGCAGTGCGGGCCATTTTCGAGGAAGTTCCAAGCAATCGGTCCCGATTACTGAAGAAAGCCAGGGCACTGAATCCTAAGAACCCGAGTCAGGCGACGGGCCTGGCGGATTCTTGCTGCCACATTGCCCTTTGCGCTGGCTGATTGCAGCGGCGAGGGTTGTGCAGGGGCCTCAAGCAAGAGCTATTTTATTGGAATCTTCGGCAATGGCTTTTATTCTGGCCACGTAAGGGGCAACCCCGACGACAAAAGCAGTGTGATAATGTCCTTCTTCTGTGAACCCCTCTGTAGTTCTCTGCATCAGGCCGCTGATGCTCTGGATGTGGCTTCGCTCATCCAGACTCTAGTCTCAATCTGAGCAGGCAGGCGAGTCCAATCACCGGCAGGCTAGGTTTTGTGACATCCTCTGCACTAAGATCATACTTCGAGAGCACGCGCAAGCGGGCCTTTGCTCGTGGTAGCTCGCGGAATTCGGAACAAGAGTTTCCGCACGACATTCGATGCGTCCCAGACTTGATTGGGACACCACTCGGCACGGGCGGGCGATTTAAGCAAATGTGTTTGGAGCGTGTTTCACGACTCGATATATGCCATGTGTCAGTTCAAGCCCATCGCAGGCAATCCGCCAAAGTTCGTTGAATGCTTAAATTTTAAAACGGGCTTACATCCACATGATGTGGACGCAAATTTCCTTGCGACAGGCTTTGTTTAGCAATTCGAAGCTGGCTGCTGTTGTTCATGTTGGGAATCCGCGCAGCAATTGGTCACGAGACATCAGCATGTCGGGGCGACATTCGACTTCACTTAACCACCGACCGGTAGTGCCGGCCCTTCCGGTCACCACCGGTGTCTTGCACTTCGGCTTGTCCTTCGACGCTGCGTTGTCACATGTGCTTGTGCTTCCCCAATGTCTCAGCTGAGGACGCTGACGGCTCAGAAGGTTGCTCGGCGACGTTGTGTTTTGTTTTATGGCGCGGCGTAGGTTCTTCTCGGTGAGAGCTTTTGGAGCTCTTTCAAGGCTGATGCTGACGAAGTTGGCCGTGCGCTCCAAGAGCTGCTGGGCTGAGCCACCTTGTTCCGTAGTGTAACCCTGCGTGGCATAGTCCAGCCCGGAGTGAGCATCTCAAGCATTGCTGGTGCTTACACATCAGGGCCGACTCGACAGACCGACATTCGAAGGCGCGGGCAGGTCGTGATCCCGTTCCTCTAAATCCTGTCATGGCTTGTTGCAGGCGCTGTCAATCCAGACGGAGGCCACCCTTCAATCCGAAGCTCAAGCATGGTCTTGCAGTAGCAGCTTGGCAGATACTTGGGGTTAGATCATGCCACGTCCGGGGTGCATGTGTGGGCACAGACACTAAGTGAGTTGTCGCAGGACAGGCCGAACAAGGCAGGAAACACTCGCTAAATATCAGAAGATGGCCGGTAGCAGAACCGCTTTTCTTGACTTCGATCGTGCTCCAGGCACGGTCCAGAACATGAGCCGAGGGAGACTTGGCTCAAAGCACAGCTTTAGCCACACTCTGCTGAAGCGAGGGGTTTGTTGGGCGGAGGATCAACATTGGAAACGTGTACGATTTCGACCAGGGTAACCGCGATCCCGCCGTCGTCAAAGAACAAGTCAAATGGGCCCACGACGAAGGACTGCAAGCAAAGCGCAGTTGAGCTGTGGGTTTGCAACGAGGATAGGCTTCTGTTTGGGAATGTTGTGGGAGCTGTTCTCCGAAGCTATCCCATGCACGAGTAGCTCTTCGACAGGATTTCGACACATTCGCTTGCCTGTGACGTGGGACGGATGCCGGGGACTCAGGGGTTGGTTTGGAGAGTTGATGCCTGTTGATGAGAAGAGGGCTTTCACCTTTCCCTCAGCACAAGGTCCATTTCCAAAAAGCCTCTGCCCTCTCTCCAGTTTCCCGGAGCCTTTGGGTTCTGCCCTGAGATTTCGATGCCAACTCCCAGCTCACAAAGCAAGTCACGGAAGTTGTGGACTATGCCTTGGGCTTGGGCCTCCATGTGGCTTGTCTTCCGTACTTTCAGTCTCACGGGCTTGGCATTGGAGTTTCAAGCCATCTTGGAGCCATCCATCCCAGGTGGTTATCAACACGCACCACGAGCACTGGCTGAAGGATGGCTACGACGGATCCCAGCACCCTGGCTGATCAGATCTGAGCAGAGCAAGAGGAGGTGGTGCGGGGGCGTAGTTCATGTGATGCCTGCATGATGTGGACGTTCCGCCCCCCACTAGCTTCTTTCACCTTCAGACGGTGCGGAATTGCAAGAAGCACCGGCTTGGATTAGGGCCGCGGCTGGGGTTGGGGTTTAGCAGTTTAGCCTGCGGAGCACGGGATGTGTGGCTCAGGCTGAAGGATGTCCGGTCTAATTGGGATGCCGGATGGGTTAGCTGGCTAGGTTTGCCAGACCGAGGCACTACAAGGACCAGTTTTGGAACCTTTGGTGCCTCGGCAAGAAACTTTTGGAACGTAGGCCTTTTGAATGCTCGGCTGCAACATGGCCGGCCTGTTCAAGAAGGCTACCGGCTAAAGATACTCATGATCAGTAGTTTTGCTGTTGCGCTATGTTGTGCTTGCTCCATCCGCAATGGCGGAAGTCCTGTGACCATAAATGGATCTGGCAAGATGCAGTTGCTCATGCGGACAAGCATTCATCGGCCTTCAGTCAGTTGGCATTGGCAAGGACTGGCATCGCAGGCCACTTCGCGTACAAGTCCAGTGACTGCGACTGCAAGATTCGGTTTCGGATGCTTGGCACTGGCAGCGCACCTCGCGAAAGTGCCGAGGCAGGCTGAGCTTCGAAGTGCTCAACGCATCTAGGCCGCAAAGCAGAGGCTCTTCGCGGCAAAGCTCAAGTTGTTTTGCGCCCGAGTAATCTACGCAGTGGATGCCGTGGTGCTTACCTGCCTTTGCGAAGACACCGAAAGTTCGTGCAGAATTGACCTCGCCAAGTAGCGAGGAGCCGGACAAGGCTTTCGGAAGCTGGAACGGGAATCCAGATCCGTACGACCAGAACCTTGTATGCAGCTAGGAGTGGTCAAAGGGCCTTGCTGCTCGCAACGCAGGGCTTCAGCCATTGGCTTTCTTCATCTGTCCAGCCTGCTGTACCTGCGAGTTTCAACTTCCCAGTCTCTCGCTCTCTCTCTCTCTACTTCGCAACTTTGGCTTTTGAGCATTTCAGCGAACGGCATCTTGGAGTTGCGACCTCTGAAGATGCCAATGCCCTCATGTCCTTTGACTCCAGGCGTGAGATGCAGGAATCGACATGCAAACGCTGTCTTGACAGGGCGTGCTCAGCTACAAGTTTTCCATTGCACGTCCTGCGCTCCTCACATGCATGGTTTTTCGTCGCTGCAGGATTGCGATCGACCGCACGCGGGAGATTAACGGCTTGGGCTACAGCGCCATCCGCAGCGTTGAGGGCAATCAGGCTGGCAGCCAGGCTGTTAAGCTTTTAGCAGAATTTGGGGAGCTTCTGGAAGCTCTCATCTCACGACCACGGCATCTGCGGTAGAGGAGTGCTTCTGGAAAGCTTCGCGCCGCTACTCCGCTAATCCCTAAGCATAGTTTTTTCGTGGAGCATCAGTCACCGGATTGTGATCCTTGATTTTGAGGCATCCAGGTCACATATATTTCCCTGGCAGGACCGCATGATCTTCCTGCACCCCAACGCTATGTCCAGTATAGGCCGTCCCGCTTCGTGATTTTCGACCTTGCGTATAAGCCTTCTAATCCGACGCGAGCTCAGCTATTGCGCTGTTGTCTTCGTGGAGGCACTGCCAAATCAATTTACCCTTCGAAGTCGGATCTGCCGGGAGACGGCAATGATGTTTCTCAGCTGCGCTTTGGTGAGTGAGTTGAGTCTTTGACGAGTCCGCTTCGGGCGCGCTTCGTGCCCGAGGCAAGCTCTGCGCGTAAATGCACTCGTCTCATCGGTGAATTCTGATTATACCACAGTCCAGGCCTGCGTGGGCGTCACCGTGCACACGTATGCGCCTGACCTGCGTTTGGTACCCGGTCACCTTCCGCCGACACTGTCATCACTAACTGTAGGAGAGCGAAACTGCGAAACACAGTGCCATCAGCGGACGGATTCCCATCGTGCGAGGTTGTTCTTCTGTACGAGAGTTATGAAAGTTCACGGAGAGGAGTCCAAACAAACTAAGCCTGTAATGTCATCTGCTCAGGAGTTTTCGTTGCAGCAGGATTCGGGGTTCCCAGCTTCGGAAGCAGCAGCAGCTGACATGACTATCTACTGTTCGCACCGTTGAGTACCATCGACAGGGGGCGCGGACATGTCATGCATCCTGCAATCATGCTCTTTCTTGCATCAGCTACGGATTCAGAGTTCAGGATCCGTATGATTTCTGCGGCGAGAATGGCCGCACCGAGTACTACGCCAACTCCAACGCAATGAAAAAAGGCAGCTTCGGGGACTGTTCATGTCGAGAGGAGGACCTTACAGGCAGTGCTAGGGACGACACACGTCTGAGAGCAGGTGTAGGCTCTTGAAGTGCCCGCCCTGCGAGATTTGAGCTCTAAGTTCAAAGACATCCGCGATTGGGCCTTCGAGACTTGTGCAGATGCAGACAGATAAGCTGGTAGGTAGATGGGTCGTAAGATGGGGCAGGCCGGATAGGTCGATGAAGGGAGAGACAGGATGTATAGACAAATGCAAACATGGATGCATAGAAGAAGTGTAGTCACACATCACGTACACTCCTAACGACTGCAGGGATGCAGTGATTGTCCGGAACATGGTCGCACCTGACAAGCACAAGCCTGTCCAGCGGGTTGAAGCTCCCAGCAGAGTGTTGCACACATAGCGACGGGCAGGATGCGCATCATGATGAAGTAGATGATGACAACCATGATGCTTATGATGATAGTGATATCTAGTGATGGTGGTGATGAGGATGCCGGTGCGGATGCTGAATAGGATTGGACACAGTTCATGGAGACAGAACGAATGTTCCTTGAGGCCAGATTCGTGTGTTGTACCAGACTCCATTCCTACAACCAATTAGAAGTAAGGCTTGTTTCCGCTCAGCTCCGCTCTAAGAGGGCTCTGGAGCGGATGCTTTTGGCCTTTCCCACGCCCAGCAACCTGCATCACACAACGGCATGGACAGCAAGGTGATACGCACTCACACATCATCTCAGAAGCTTGAAGTCTCCAGCAACTCCCGCGATTCTCCAACCCTGTGCAGCCAAGGACACGTTCATCCCTGTGTATGTAGGCGAGTACGGCAGGGAGCTGAGAAAAGAAATTCATGTGCACGTTGTGTAGCACAGGTTTTGTTTGCCTTTATAGCACCAGTTTGGCGGAAAGGTATGATCACTGCGATGGGAGTCATCTATCGAAAAGTAACCCCCGCCTGTTTGCAGACGTGTTGTGGTTAAGACGCCAACATCGGCCAGGAGCTAGTCTGACCTAGATAAGTTAACAATATAGTAAAAATATGGAAAACATATGAATCCGAAAATACGCCTGTATCACACAGATATGCTAAGTTATATGGCCGTTGGCACCCTTCAACTTGCATCTGCAGCTGTGTGTATAGCAGTTCATTTCGACGGCTTGATCAACAGGTGGCATAGAGGGACAAAGTGTAGCCAGGGCATGATACGCGCAAAGGTGGGAAGCACAGAGTTACACAGTCGCACACTGTTGTAACATACATCGTTGTGGTACATGATACTCCTTCACTTGTGTCGTCATGGATGCATCGGAATGCAATGCAGGCTGGGTTGGGCTTGGGCAGGAGACTGGTTAGGGCAGCGCGGGAAGCGGAAAGGCTGAAACTTTTGGAGAGGGGGGCCTTCCGGCATCATATTGTTGCCAGATTTTTCCTTATTTTTGCTAAAGTGAAAGATTAGCAAAAATATGGAACATAATTATATGGAAAAAATATGGAAAATATGGAAACGCTAGGGAGAACAAGGAACACACAAATTTTGGTGGAATGTGTTCAAAACGTCTGCCAGAAGGCTGGATTCCCTGCCTCAAAAAAAGGCTCGGGGGCAGCAGTCAGGCCTTAGGGTCGGGGGGGTCGCCCTGCTATTTTCGGGTGGAGCGCTTCGGATCTCGGCGTAGCTCCCCCGTTTCAGATTTATTCCATATTATTTCCATTCAAAAATAAACCCAGGAATTAGGATCCTAGCTGGGATCACGCGTCTCAATGTTATGGCAATCGTCAGCTACAGCTTGTGAGAGCCAAGGTGTTGGGCGCCAGATGGATCGACAGTGGGATAGAGACAGCGAAATAGTCCGAGAGTACTACAAGTTTACGCTTCTTGACAAAAAATCGGATTCTCGGCATCGCGGGGGTCGAGTAGGTGGCTTCAGTACATGTAATGCTGGTTGACTGACTTCTTGGCATTATTAATGCTACTTGTACATTCTGGCCTAGTTTTTTGCTCGAATGTTGCTCTTTAGTGCAGCAGCTGCAAGGGCCAACCACATCCGCGAGAGCGGGATGGCCGTTGCTGAGCCACGTCTGCAAATCATGAAACCACGTCAAGGTTTTGACAAGAATGCTAAGGTGTAGGCTGAGATGCGAGTTGGGGAATCGCAGCCCAGGCCTGGGATGATCCTGGCCGCTTGACTTGGAGAATGGCAGGGGCGGGAGTCGTCCTTTGCTGCTTTCTCCGAGGATGGTTCGGTATCTACAACCAGCAGCAGTGCCTCGTCTCAAGCTGCCACCTCCAACCGTGAGCCGCAACGCGAACTGAGGCTGGGACTGCACAAGCAGGTTGTGACGCCCTACCTATGAGGCCCCGAGGTGTGCATGCATGAAGGCCGGTTGATTGGATTTTCGCTGTGCTTGGCCGGGCACGACGAAGCTTGCCGGCACGTCGGAAGAACAAAGATCCACAAGGATGCCAATGTGCTTCCTCTAAACTCTAACACGGCACAAGCCCCTGCAAAAAGAACATTGACGCAAGCGAGCAGTCCAGTGCAATGCCTCTCCCTGTTTGCGAGGGTTTCGATCCTCTCAGTCAGTGTGAGCGATCCCGCAGCTCACGGGCTCTACTATCGACGACTGTACCGAAAAGCTGCCCGGCCGCGTGGATCTGCACAATGCGACTCGAAAGCACTTGGTGCACGTACGACTTCTGCTCGAGAAGCATCTTTTCGAACTTTGCAAGCGCAGAACCCGGTTGATGCAGTGCTGACCTTTCTTCATCTTTCTTCCCCAGAGTATTGTGAGTCAGGCGACGTGCATTGCGGATTCTTGCTGCCACGCTACCTGTCGCGCTGGCTGAATGCAGCAGCGAGGGCTGTGCAAGGGCCTCACGCAAAGACATGTTCGATTACCGGTCGGGGACCTCCTCATAAGGGCTTTCATGCTGTTCAAAGCAACGGTGAACCCCGAAGCCGAAAGATGTGTGACATCCAGCTCACCTGAACGTCCGCAGTCCTTCGCATGAGGCCGCTGATGCTCTTGAAGCGGCTTCACTCATCCAGCCTCTTCTCTCAATGTCAGCCAGGGCTCTTTGGAGCATCAGCGAAACAACAGTTTTCTCCACGCTCTTTTTGGGAGCACCGCTGCCCCGCAACAGGGCCTCCATCCGCAGACAGAAGCATCGGCTGGAGCTACGAACTGGAACTTTCTCAAGCTATAGGTCATTTCCGAACATGCTGCGATGCTTCGGCTCATGCGCCCTCACAGGAATTTCGCTTTTCATCGAAGCCTCCCAGAAAAATCCTTTGAACCAGCTTGAAAGCCGAGGTCTGCAAACCACATGTTAAAATGTATCTGCATGCGACGAATTCAGATTTTTTCAGCAGTGCGAAGAGGTCTGCGCATTGTAGCTTTTGCACTCGAGACAGCAGCATGTCGCAACCGGAATCCGGCAGGGTTTTAGTCCCCGGAACTCTTAAATTTAAGCCATCTGTCGACTGCCGCTGCATCGCGAGTCCAATGATCACAGTTGCATCTCCGGCGAGCACATGCCATTTGCGCACCAACTCAACTGCGCTGAAGGCATAATATGTCTCTTCTAGCTGGAGCTGTGTTGTAGTTCGGCTTGTCCTTCGACGTGGCCGCCTTATCATGTTTGCATTTGCTCTCTCAGCTGAGGACGCTGACAGCTCAGAAGGTTGCTCGGCGACGTTGTGATTTGTTGTATGGCGATCATTCGTTGAGTCGACGGCGACGGGGCTCTGTCCTACAAGGCCGATGCTGGTGAAGGTGGTCGTGCACTCCAAGAGTCGCTTGGCCGAGCCACGTGATTCCGCAGTGTAGCCGCCTGCATGCTACGCCGCGCAGTGTCGGGGATGTGCCATATTGTGGAAATGGGCACCGTGGTGTGGTACAGTCTGAAGACGGCAGTGAGAGTTCATAGCACCCGTCCGGCTGGAGTGTCAGTCCGGAGCATCCCAAGCATTGCTTTTGCCATCTTGTCCCTGCACGTCAGGACCAACTCGACCCACGGACATTCGAAGGCAGTGGCAGGGCGTTGGCGGGTCCTGAGCTCGTTCTTCAGATCCTCTTCTGGTCTGTTGCAGGTGGTGTCAATCCAGCGGGAAGCCACCGTTCAAAGCCATGCTCAAACATGGTCTTGCAGTAGCAGCTTGGCAGAGACTTGCCATTGTCGCGGTGTATGTGAAGCACTGCCCCACTACTTTACAGAAGGCGACGAGAGTAGCGTACCCGCGTACCCGCTTCTCTTGACTTCGAAAGAGCTCCAGGCACGGTTCAGAACATGGGCCGAGGGAGACTTGGCTCGAAGCGACATCGCTGAGCATATTGGGGTGGGGGGGAATTTCCCTATTATGTTTAGTTGTCACGTTCTGCCGCAGCGAGAGACTTGCTGTACGCAGGATCAACCTTGGAAACGTGTACGATTTCAACCAGGGCAATCGCGACCCTGCGGTCGTCAAGCGACAAGTCCAGTGGGCTCACGACCAAGGACTCCAAAGCACAGTTGAGTGTTGGGTGTATTGCGGGGCAGCTTATGTAAGCTTGGGACTCCGGGCTTGGGAATGTTGGGGAATGTTTGGGTCGTGGTACCTGAGTTTGCAAAAACATCCTGAATCCCGATCTCAGAAGCCACGTGATGTGCTCAATTCCGAGCTCTTCGACAGGATTCGGACACGTTCGCGTGCCTGTCACATGGGACGGACGCCGGAGACTCACGGGTTGTTTCCTTCTCCAGTTTCCCGGAGCCTTTGGGTTCTGCCCTGAGATTTCGACGCCAACTCCCAGCTCACAAAGCAAGTCACGGAAGTTGTCGACTATGCCTTGGGCTTGGGCCTCCATGTGGCTTGTCTTCGGTACTTTCAGTCTCACGGGCTTGGCATTGGAGTTTCAAGCCATCTTGGAGCCATCCATCCCAGGTGGTTATCAACACGCACCACGAGCACTGGCTGAAGGATGGCTACGACGGATCCCAGCACCCTGGCTGATCAGATCTGAGCAGAGCGAGAGGAGGTGGTGCGGGGGCGTAGTTCATGTGATGCCTGCATGATGTGGACGTTCCGCCCCCCACTAGCTTCTTTCACCTTTAGACGGTGCGGAATTGCAAGAAGCACCGGCTTGGATTAGGGTCGCGGCTGAGGTTGGGGTTTAGCAGTTTAGCCTGCAGGAGCACGGGATGTGTGGCACAGGCTGAAGGATGTCCGGTCTAATTGGGATGCCGGATGGGTTAGCTGGTATATAAGGTTTGCCACACCAAGGCACTACAAGGACCAGTTTTGGAACCTTTGGTGCCTCGGCAAGAAACTTTTGGAACGTAGGCCTTTTGAATGCTCAGCTCCAACATGGCCGGCCTGTTCAAGAAGGCTACCGGCTAAAGATACTCATGATCAGTAGTTTTGCTGTTGTGCTTGCTCCATCCGCAATGGTTGAAGTCCTTTGACCAGAAATGGATCTGGCAAGATGCAGTTGCTCATACGGACAAGCATTCATCGGCCTTCCGCCAGTTGGCATTGGCAAGGACTGGCATCGCAGGCCACTTCGCGTACAAGTCCAGTGACTGCGACTGCAAGACTCGGTTTCGGATGCTTTGTGCTGGCAGCGCACCTCGCGAAAGTGCCCAGGCAGGCTGAGCTTCGAAGTGCTCAACGCATCTAGGCCGCAAAGCAGAGCCTAGCGAAGGCTCTTCGCGGCAAAGCCCAACTTGTTTTGCGCCCGAGTAATCTACGCAGTGGATGCCGTGGTGCTCACTTGCTTCACGTTCCAGTAGCTGAGGAGCCGGACAAGGCTTTCGGAAGCTGGAACGGGAATCCCCATCCGTACGACCAGAACCTTGTATGCAGCCAGATCATGATGGGGTGGGCACGAGGTTGAGGCAATCTATGGCAATCTGCCTTGAAGTCTCTTTCCGTCGGATTCAGACTTACACAGGGAGCCATAGGAGTCGTCCGCGCTCCGAAGCGCGGTAGCGATGTGGGTCATAGGTGTCTCGTGCGGGGCCGTCGTGGAAAGCTCAATGCCGCACTGTTTCGGGCTTCTGTCTGCGCCATTGGTTGGATAGCTGGCTTTCGGGCATCATCTCAATTTCGAATCTGCTGTCTCGCCGGAACTGCAGCTTCGCTAGCTTCCTCAACTGCTCTTTTTCAGTTTCAAAAAGTTGCGAACGAATCTGAGCACACAGACCGCATGTCTGTGTTTTTGATTTTTGACTTGAGGCTTGCGATCGACCGCACCCGGGAGGTGAATGGCTTGGGCTACGCCGCCATCCGCAGCGTTGCTGGCAACCAGGCCTTGCAGCCTCGCAGCCGGAACTTTGAAAGCCAACGTTTTCAATAACTTGAAGGGCTGCAGCGTTGTTTGTCGTGTAGCACACTTGTGTGCGAAATGACAACTTATTGTTTTCATTAATCACCGATCGATTCCGTGGATGTACATGAGTCGATCAATTCGAGCTTGATGCATTCCGTTGCCATTTTGGTATAAGCTTTGAACCATCGACAATTTTCTTCTCCCACCCGCCCTAACTCTATAGTAGGCGTTTCACTTTCCTCTGCTTTCATTCTGCGAGATCCGACCGGGAAACGGTCGGTTCTCCGAATATTGAAGGAATATTTCTGTAAGAAATGTGATCGAAATTTTCGATATACCCGATTAGACTCCGAAGGGAGTCCGAAATTGCAGAACACACCGCCGAAGCGACAGCAGTTGAAACAAGGCGCGCATAGCAGGGATCAATGCATCACCGGTGAAAGCTTTCGTTGTCAACTTGAGTCTGGAAGCTCACATCAGACGATCACGACATCTGCGGTAGAGGAGTGTTTCTGCTCCCTAATTATAGTCTTTCGTGGAGCATCACTCGCGGGGCTGGCACCCTTCAAATCGAGGCATCCGGGTCACCTAGCTTTCCCGCATTACCCTGACAGGACCGCATGATCTTCTTGCACCCCAACGCTATGTCCAGCATAGGCGGTGCTCATTTGCTGTTGAGAATTCGATCTCCGCTTCGTGGATCAGTGTTTGATCTCACCCGGGCATGAGCTCAGCGCTGTGTTCACGCTGTCTTCGCGCAGAGGCACCGCCAAAGCGCTGTACCCTTCCAAGTGGAGTCTGCCAGGAGGTGGCAAGGATGTTGCTCGCTGCGGTTTAGTGATCTGGTGACGTGACGATGTAGGCTAGGCAAGAGCAAGTGTGCCGGCTGGGTCTTCGAGCAGATGAACCCTCTTTGTGTCCAAGACAAGTTCTAACACATTCTCCTCAGTGGTGATGATATGCTTGCATTGCCAGAATCCAGGCCTGTGTGGGCGTCACCGTGCACACATATGCGCCTCACTTAAATTGGATACCCAGAGTTTATCAGAGTTTCTTGTCTCCCAATGCAGCTACGATTTTGCAGAGTTCAGGATCCGTACGACTTCTGCGGCGAGAATGGCCACTCCAACTACTATGCCAACCCCAGTGCGATGAAAAAAGGCAGGTTCGGGGACTGTTCATGTTGACGAGCCGAGGACTGGTGGCGCCATCTGAGTTGCAGTAGGTGTAGGCCATCTCTCCTGATCACAGCCCTGTCAGACTTGATCTTCAAGTTCAAAGACCTCCGCGATTGGGCATTCGAGACTTGTTCCGTCCAGGCAATTTGCCCCGCCATAGAGTATGCCATAGAGATGAAAACACAGACGGAGACCCCAAGCACGGCCCCGGAAAGATCGTTGCCACCCCAATCCACCCAAAAGCATGCACATCGAAGGCTGCCAATCACCGTGTGTTATGCTGATTTAGCACAGAGGTCTCTTGCAGGTGATTGCAGGATGTAATGCGCTGCAGTTTCTGGGACTGCTGCGGGGAGGTGTCCAGCTGTCACGGGTTCTGTTCTCAGGTAAACAAGAGCGACTCACCCTTCCGCCAACGCGCACACATTTACACATGGACACTCGTGCATTCATGCTTTCACACACGCGCACACACACACACAACGACACATAAGCAGTCGGACATGATGAGCCGCATTGCACCCGACTCCAGGATAACTAGAAAGAAGGCCGCTCTTCTATCCTTGCTGCGAGGCACACGAAAGGGCAGGGTTTGAAGGAGAGCTTCGTTGAGCAAAGCTCCGTCACAACATCCTGCTCTGCCAATCATAACTTTATGTGACGCAGGTGCCCTCGCAATCTTGACCTTGTGCAGCCAAGGACTCACATATCCCTGTGTATGTAGGCGAGTACGGTGGGGAGCTGAGAATTAATTCATGCACATGTTGTGGAGCGCAGCTTTTGCGGCAGCACCAGCTAGGAAGAGGGATTGCAGCGGCAACGGATCTCATTGACAGGTATTCTTGCATGTAATTTGACATTGCAGTTCGGTCTTGGAAAATATGCGTTGGAGAGTCGCCGACGATTTTTCTATGCATCCGAGGTTCGATGTAGACGTAGACATGATCAAACATCACATGTTTGTGCTGGTGCTAGTGTCACCTCCAAGAGATGTCTTGCCATCAGATGGCCAAGTCATGGAATCAGATCTTCTGAGCGACAGGTTGTGGCAGCCGTCACGTTGTAGCAGGGACAGCTTCTAAGAGTCCAGGTGTTGGCCGCCAGATGGATCGACAGTGGGATCGCAACAACGAAAACGTCCGTGAGTACTACAAGTTTGTGTTTCTTGACTGAAAGCTCAGCAAGTCGGAACTCCAAGACGTGAATGCATTGAATACATATACGTGACTTTCGGTACATGCTGATTGGGATTGTTTAGGAACGGGGCGCTGTGGGGCATCGGTGTCTTTGCACGTAGCAGGCTTTCGGGCTTGCACGAGCGGTTTAACCGGTCACACATTGTGAATATTTGTGAATATTGTGAAGGTTTTGCACTCCACGGAGACACTGGCGTGGGGGTGCAACATCTGGGACGGGATGGGTAGACTGTTGGCACCTTCCTGCAGAGCCTGTGACCTTGGGCCTGAGTCCATGCGGCCTGCGAGCCTGTCCGTTGCTTCGAACTACGCCGACAAGGGGTACACGCAGATGCACAAAGACATACACATATAGATACAGCTGCGCATACCGCACAGACATGCATACATACATACATACATACGTACGTACATACATACATACATACATAGATGCATATGTATATAAATAAATATATCTATACAGATATATATATATATATAACTTTGTACACAAGCCTACCTTCCTACCCTCCTACCTTCCCACCTGCCTCCCGGCCTACCTGCCTACCTGCCTACCTACCTACCGTCCGACCGACCGACCGACCGACCGACCGACCTACCTACCTACCTACCTACCTACCGACCTACCTACCTACCACCCCATACATGCAGGCATACATAAATACATACATACATACATACATACATACATACACATACCTAACGTATACATCTGCATATACATATGCTTCTACTACACAAATACCTACACCTGCCCATTAACGCACAGGTAAACGCACACACACACACACAGAGTGCACGTACACAGACGAGACAGCCAGACGGACAGCCAGCCAGACAGCCAGCCAGCCGGGCAGACAGACAGCCAGGCAGACATGGCATACCTACCTACGTGTGTATGCACACGCATACTTCAACATGCCAGCATCGGCTTACCATCAGACAAAGAAATACGTCCAAACTATTCCAAACTCATGCAGAAAGGTCCGGACATTGATGGACAGAGATGTAAGCGGTACATTCACAAAGCAAGCTAGTGGGACTCTCCAGATTTAAGCAGGCTTAGACTGAGACAAATCCCAAACTGTCAGCAGCTGCAAGGGCCAACCACTTCCGCGAGAGCGGCATGGCCGTTTGTGCGCCCCGGCCGCAGTTACCCGCTGGTGTCGCGCGGCCCTGGTTCGGAACGTCGAGACAACTTGCAGCAACCCATGCTGGTGCGCAGCGTCTGGGCTTTGGGCTTCCAAAGTCTCGGCCTGGATTTGCCGGACCCTGATTCCAAGAAGTCTGCTCCAGCAAACTCAAAATGCGCAAGCTTTAGGCAGGCTGAGATGCGAGTTGGGGAATCGCAGCCCAGGCCTGGGATGATCCTGGCCGCTTGACTTGGAGAATGGCAGGGGCGGGAGTCGTCCTTTGCTGCTTTCTCCGAGGATGGTTCGGTATCTACAACCAGCAGCAGTGCCTCGTCTCAAGCTGCCACCTCCAACCGTGAGCCGCAACGCGAACTGAGGCTGGGACTGCACAAGCAGGTTGTGACGCCCTACCAATGAGGCCCCGAGGTGTGCATCCGGTTGATCGGATTTTTGTGTGACCTGTGCTCAAGGCACGAGGTCAGTTGTTTAATTTTATCGAGTTGATGGGCTGGGCAAAGCTCCGAGACGTTTGTCGGTGATCTGACAGGACATCGAATGGTCAAGGACAGTCTTCCTCTCATCCTTGCTCGAAGATCTACGGCAGAAGTATTCCTGTCAAGTCCCTGCAATCGAAACTTTTTTCTAGCCGATTCTAGCCTGTCAAGCCTTGCCACTATCTCTTCTGCAGACATCCGAAAAAACTTTCGAGGGGTCAAGAAAAGGCCGTCTGCCGTGCCCGTCTGCGCATTTTTCTTCGTGTCCTCACAGAGGCATGCGGATGCACGCTCCGTTTGTAAATCTGTGACAGAACTGTCATTGTCGATCACAGCGAACACTGCGTCCCAGGCTCCGCAACACCTTCGACCAGACCGACTACGCCACAGGGTTGCAAAAGACAGACTGGTTCAGAGATCACGGAAGCACGTCTTAAGGAGGATTTTTTCGACCGAACGGCATGCGAACGGCGCGCTCCAGTATCGCCAGCTTTGCATGTGCGAGAAAGCAGCACAAGTCATGGGTCACGCCACAAGTAGAATGTTCATTGCCCGTGCAGCAACTTTTCTACCTACATGGTGCCCGGTGCATAGCCGCCCCTTATGTTTTGGGACTGTGAGAGCACGAAAACACTGGCCGACACAGGGGCTTTGGGACAAAACCAATAGTTTGGGGTCGGAAGTACACGCACTCGTAGCCTCAGTCTTTGTGCTTCCTTTGAGCACGAGTCCCCGGTGGTCAAAACCTGACTGCTTGAATGCAGTCTTTCGTGGAGCTTCGAGGATCTTTCAGATTTGGGCTTGCACATGGCTTGAGCTTAAGGCGAAAGGGTTGAGGGATTAGGGAGTGGTTCGGCATCTGGCGGAGGGAACAAACAGCTGCAGAGCAACCATGCAGAGAGCACTGGTTCACACAAGTGTGATTACGCTGTTAGAGAATGCAGAAAACTAGTCTAATCGATAGTAGCAGCAGCGTCATCAGCAGCATCCCCCCCACCCCCCCTCCCGACAAGCAGGATCAGCAGCATCACCACGAAGCCTCGCAAATAACGAGTCGAGAAGGTCAACAGGGGTGTATACGCGCCTACATGTCCTTATCCTCTTGTGTGCTGAATGCGCTAGTGCCATCATCTACGCGCTTTGGACTGCCATTGGCCAACCCTGCCACACGGCTTGCTACGAAGGCCATCAACACCAGTGCCAGCTCTGTGCCGGTCTCAGTTGTCGCCTTGAATGTTTGAATGTCCGTGATTTGCTGTCCATCGTAGTATTTGTTTACACGCGAGCTGCATCAGTTCCTGCCCGAAGGCTTACTTCGTTGTTGCTCAAGTAAGCCAAGCGCAGGTCACTGGCCCTGCAGCAACATCTCGCCTGCTAGGATGGATGGCCGTGTCTCTCCACAGACAGGCGGAGGCCATGCAATAGTTTGATAGCATCTACCGCAGAGCTAAAGCAGCGGAGTCCACAGGCACAGGCCTTGTTACGCTGGTATTTGCGCAAGAGTCTCTGATGATCGCTCTGAAAGAAAATCCGTCCTGGAGGCTCGGCTTCTCCTTGGAGCGACGGCGAACGGAGGCCTTTCCAGAAGTGTCGGAATTTTGGGACAACAGTCCGATCCGGCCAAGAGCGGGAGCCGGCCCTGCCTCTGCTTTCCGACAGCTGTGGCAGGGCACCACCTCACCAAATGATGGGCGACAACGGCCGGGGTCTTCGCAAGCGCCGGACGGGACTCCACCCGGGAGCCAGAGAAATGTTTGAAGTAGCTGCATGAATCAAGAAATTGTACGGCTAAAGCGTCTGGGTGTGTCTGCAATGGCTGGCTGCCTAGGTCAAGTCGCGAGCATGTACTTGCAGGACACCGACATACACCGACCCCGAACTTGGGCCTGACTCGGAACAGACCCTTTAGAATTTTTGATTGCCACCAACCGGGCTTCAAGTTATGTCAGGCAAAACATGCGAGGCTCCTGATTAACGACACAAGTGGATTTCAAGACTCAGAACTGCAACCTGCAATGTTTTTTGATGAGGTTGGCGTTGAACTCTGGAATTCAGCATGTACTAAAGCCGTTCCTGGAGCCAACGGCAGTCTGAACACATGCAGAGCGAATAGATCTGCCTCGCCAGAGCTCGTCCGGCTGTTCCACGCGACAATTGTGGGGTGAGTGACATGGGTTCTCTTGTCAGTCTATGCCAGTCTTAGAGGCTTAAACAGGAAAAAGAGAAGCATTGCTGGTTTCAGGAGCGAGTGCCTGAGACCTTCATCCTGCAGCGGATTCAAGCGAGTTTGCCTGGCGCGGATGCCCAGTACCTCGAGAGCTCTCTTCGTCGTTGGGCCCTGAAGGCCGTGCACCTACCAAGAGACGTCTGTCACCTAGCCGCCCTAGCCTAGGCTGCTCCGATGTGCAGGCTTGGGCCTCTGTTCCATGTCTGTTGCGGATTGCTGACAAGACTTTTGTGCTGAAAAGAGTCGCAGCATAGTCGGAATAGGTAAAGGTGAGCAGGGTCTTGAGAGCTGTGCCGTCAGTTCATGGATTCGGATTCTGCTTTCGGCCAGGGGGGCAGGTGCTGTCCTTCGCCCAGGCCGTGGGCTGCCATGCGGGAAAGCGGAAAACCGGAAAATACGCAGGATCCATTTTGTCATAGCTTCCGCTGTCCCGTAGGCCGAAGGTGCAGGCGGCCGAGTGGTTGCGCTCTGTCAACCGCAGCTGCGCTCCTTGTCTGAGACAAAGCCGGTGTTCTCTCAGTCCTTCAGACTTCCGGGGCGGTAGCGGGCCGGGGGACGCGGTATTCACTTGTGTTGTCAGAGCATCGCTTTTTTTAAGCGAAACAGGCCCTCAGTTTTAGAGTAGAAGCCTGACAGGCGAACTTGGAGGCGATGCTCAGCACCAAGCTTGATCAGCACAGCCAGGTGCGCCTCCGCGAGCTTGGTGCGAGGTAGAAACAGCTCGGTGGAGGTCTGTGCTTCATTGTGCTTCCATAAGCCCGGCACAATCAGTACGCACAAGTTGCTTGCCTAGACTCTGTAGTACCACATGCTAATCCCGCAACTGCGAGAACTTGAATCCTCCGAGAAGAGCTTTGTGACCTCAACCTGAGCTGCCTGCTAGGTCTGCCTGGATGAGGCGGGAGCTTCGGATCAGGGCACAAAGCTTCCAGCGGTCTTACCAGAGGCCTGGGACACCTTATTTCGTGCCCAGGTGCAAGCGATCGAGGCCGCCGACACCGGCGAGGACGGGAACAACCTTCTGACATGCGTGCTGAATCGTGCTCAGTGGCGCGCTCTACTTGCAGCTTCGACAGTACGCTTCCCTTGCGAGAGCCTGCGGGCGAG